AGACAGAGCACTTGTATACATATAACGGCAATATAAGTGCTTTGGTCGGGAGTATTATTTATTACAGATGTTTGGGCGATAAAAATAACTCCATAATGATTGGCGATTCTGTGAGGGTGTGCGGCACCGATGGCAAGTGGACGGGTGTCGATCCCACTTGTATTCACGACTCTGAACTCAATTCCGACCATTTTAAGGAGATTAAAGATACTGATGCCAAAGATATACATAAGACCACATTTGACGCGTGAGTTTATTTGCCATACATATAAGTTATATATGATATAATCATTAAATGAATACCTTGATCAATAAAATTAAGAATTATAACAAATTCTATGCAAGAATTGAATTGACATATCATTGAAACCAAATATTGTTAGTTTTAATCCACTGGTGAGCACAGCCAACAAGACAGCGCTGGCGTGTGGTATACCAGCGATGCCTTTGTTCGCCAAACCGACCACATCTAAGAGATTTCAATTCTTCGGCGGTCAGTCAGACCTGCGGCTGTGGTATGAGAACGGGACAGTAATCAACTACCAGTGCGAGTCAGCCTATCGTTGGGTCACCGGTGATGTCCAGAAAAGGACATGTATTAATGGCCAGTGGGTCGGCAGAGTTGGCAAATGCGGTGAGAAATGGAACATAATTGAATATCTGTTCACATAAACTAAATATAAATGATTTTCAAAGCTGTTAATTATGGAAATAAAGTAAGTATGAGTACTGTGTATGTCTATGATGTGGACAAAAATAACCAGTGGAAAAACTCACATTTGGTCCAAGAGACAAACTCGACATCCGAATGGGACGACCACTTTGCTTACAGGCATTGCAAACATTATTTTTAGAAACAATTTAAATGAAACTTAAGATTCATTTGTATGACAGACGGGATGCGGATAAGGGTGAATGCGCCACATTTACAGTGGAAAGTAAACATCGGTGGACTTTGCGGCTGAACGCGAGCATAAGTATCACATACTTTGTGGTGATGTTGCACCCAGGTGGCTTTTTTGGCAGTAAACGTCAGATAACGGATCCGACAATATTAGAGAACAGTCCGGTAACGGCAAGCGTAGGACGCACTGGAAAGGAGTGTCTGTTGACATCGGCCTGGGATTACTCGCACTCGCGGTTCGGCACGTATTTCTTCTTCACGTGCGATATGGATGAACAGAAGTACCGGAATGTCAATTACGCCTATTATGTCAATCTATACATAGATCCCAAAAAGTTTGACACGTCCTATACCGCGAAGAATGTGTCGCTCTGTTCACTGGCTGTTATGTCCTCCAAAAATGATTGCGGAACACCTGATATACCACTTCATAGCACTGTTACCAATAACCCCAACACTCACGAGTGGACTTTTGATTGCGATGAAGGTTTATAAGTTTGTAAAACTATTTTCAAACTATTAAACTAATGTTTTATACAATAGGGTATGAATTGGTTGGAAAGGCTACCGTGTCGTGCGGTCAGAACGGGCGCTGGGCCTCAGACTTCCCGTATTGCACTCGGAAGGAGTTGTGTCCAGTAAGCCGTTCCTCCACTGACATGTCTGTGAAGACCAGATGGGATAATGTGGTCCAGAAGGACAACAAAATAATTGCAGTCATTGATACCATAGTTAACCATACATGTATTGCTTTATCTAAGAAAATATTAATTGGTTCCCAATTAAGACTCTGTACCACAAGTGGACAATGGAGTGGAACTGAGCCCTATTGCATGGGTTAGTAATTGTTCATAATTTGTTCACAATTTATTTCTAATTATTTGATTAAAAATAATTTTAGATCCAAAAGATTTGCCAAAACCCGGTTCTAAAGATAGCGGTTCCACATTAACGGTGTTTATCAGTGTTTTGAGTATAATACTGGCCATAGCACTGGTAGCCGGTCTTGTATACTATGTATTCAATAAAGGATACTTGAATAGTGTTTC